TGCCCTAGGACGGGCTCACCTGGACATGGTATACTCCGTGACTAGGGCTCCTGGGGGCTGTCGTGAAGCAGAGAAGAAGAAAGCAGCGCACACCTGGCTGGCCTTGCAGCGGCCAGGAGGAAAGTGCAGCATCGCACTGACTGTCGGAGGTGCTTCACAAAGTCAGTCAAGGGGTCCTTCTTGTGCAACACAAGCCCTGCATTGGCACAGCTGGGCCATAGTGCACACAGCCCAGCTGTGGATGAGTCTCCCAGAAGTTGGCGAAGTCCCCTTTTGATCGTATACCATGTTATCACCGGTATTCTTGTGGCTGCAGCCGGCCGCCTCGGAGCCTGTCGCCCCCCCTTCTTCATCACCCTTTCCCTAGCCCCAGCATCAGCTGGTGCAGAGCCATATGTGTCCCTTCCCCCTCTGCTTGGAGCCATGGATGCTGAGGATACGACTACAAAGGAGTAAGAGCCAGCAGTTGCCTTCAGATCTATTCCCAGGGCTCCCGTTCGTCTTCGGTAGAAGCTGCACGTTTGTATCGGAGGCAGAGCTAGGTCCCAGGAACTGAGCATCTGGAGGGAGGTAACCGCGTGCTCACCTGCAGGCAGTCATAGTGGTCCAGCGCTCCACCTGTCCTCAGGATCGGGGTAGACGGGGAGCTGCTCATGGTTTATTAATAATCAAAGCAGCGTGTTGTGCATGCCAGAATTACCAAGTACATGGCGGTTGTGAGAAAGTTATCAGCAAACAACTGACTTTGCCAAGCAAAGCGGATATAAAAGCATAACCTCGCTAACAGTCGGTCTCTTGGCAGACTTTTGTGTCTGCAGTCCGGTAACTAAGTGGTATTACTCTGAGCTTCACACTCTCCTACTTTGCTTTAATAATAATTAGCTGTTACTGTCTACAAAAAGCCAGGGGAGTGCAAGACGGTAGTGGTAGATAGATTTCCACGTGCTTCCACCCTTCCCGTTCTGCGGGGAGGCTGCTCTCATAGCGGATTACTTTCTGCATCTGTGACAATTGTGCATCTGGTCTGTGGGATCTCGCATGGTTATTCTGCCCCAGGGAAAAGCTGCCAGAAAACCATATGGGGCTTAGGGAAGGGGTCTCCTTCACGGATCTCAGAGACAACAGAGTCCTTGGTTCTTTGCCGGAAAGACGTGTGCTGCCTGGGATACTCTAGACTCGACATTAAGACTGTCATTTGCTTTGCTTTTCTATAAAGCCCATTTTGTAAAAGGGTTTCTGCACTTCTGAACTAGTTGGTCAGTTTGCAACAAGAATGAATCCCATTGAAAATGAAGGCGGCTCCCTCCCAAGTTTGTGTGGGTATCAGGGAAAATCCCGAGCGCACATATTGCCCCTGGCTGCCCTTGTAGCTTCCCTGTCTTGCACACACAGTCAGTTTGAAGCTAAATGTACACCAGTCCTGGTCCTGATCCAGCAATTGCTGTTATTGCACACATGCACGCACGCGGTCTGCTGGCTGTGGTCGTGGACTGGATCCCAACTCTGCCACCGTTGTGGGTCCTTGGGATATGTCACCTCCCCTCGCTCGGGCTCTGCCTCGCCCCTCTGTCTTGCTGTGTCTGTTCAGGCTGCAGCTTGGCGAGGCAGCGACTGTCTCGTTGCAAGTATAGTAGAGGTTTTGGGGCGTCGGGGCTACTCTAAGCCACAGTTGTTGGAACACGCTGGACCTCAATATCGCCCCTTCGCATCTCTTCTCCCTTCCCCTAACTGACCACACCATGATCCCACGCCAGGAGCGGGGCAAACCATAGCTGTCAGCACCCTATGGGAGCTCCCTAGAGGGGATTTAAGAAAAGATGTGCCCGGAACTGATTCTCGATAGAAATTTCTTGCCAAGAGGTTGTAGGACTCATTAAAAAACTTATTTCTTATCACATTAGTCTGGAAACTAGGCCTCGTGCAGGCATAGGTGCGTGTGAAGTGTCACCCTGCAAAATTCCCGGCTCTTGGAGGCCGAGGGGCGCCCTGCATCATCTCTGCGTGCCCTGGATGGGTGGGTTCCTGGCCTCCAATTTTTTCTTGCCTTTCTCATAAAATTCAGCTGCAGCAGAGACGAAGCTGAGGACATTAAAGCCGAGGAGGAGCTTACAAAGTCACGAGCACATGGAAAGGGGTTTAGAGGGGGAGAGGGGTTGTTGGTTATAGCCGTGTTGGGCTAAGGACATCGGCAGGCAAGTTCTTGGGGCAGATGCGATATCTTTTATGAGACTAATTAAACAGTTGGAAAAATTGTTCTTTGCAAGCTTTCAGGTACAAACACCCTTCCCCAACAGATATGCCTGAAGAAGGGTGTTTGTGCCCGAAAGCTTGCAAAGAACAATTTAGTTGGTCTCATAAAAGATTTAGTTGGTCTCATAAAAGATCTCAAAGACAGCTATTTAGTTGGTCTCATAAAAGATATCACATCTACCCCAGGAACCTCGTCTGCCTGGAGCGGGAGAGCGCACTTCACTTCCATTACAGATCTTGGTTCCAGTAAGTGGTGTAGTAACCCCGACCCGTGCTCCAGAGAGATAACCGGCATCCGTGCATTCGGGTGCGCACAGAGTATATTGCAGAGCGATGTGCTTGTGGCTAGAAAAGGTGGTGGGGTCAAGCTGTGTGGTAATGAAGTTTTCAACAACAGCTATAAGCAGCCATCCATGCAAGAGAGAGAGATTTGTCCATGGCATGATTTATCGCCGCCAACTCCATATGCTAAGAGCTCGTTTGCTGAAATTACAAAAACTGTAACTATCTCACGGCACGAGATGCTCGGTGTACTCCTCTCCGCGTTATGCACACCACCCAATGGGACTGTGCGTTTACATAAACAATTTAATGCTTTTTATGGGGGAAAAAAAATCTCTTGACGGTATTAAACGGCACAATATGAGGCAAGGCTTTTTTGTCTGTGCAAAAACAGAATGAATAAATGGATAGAAAGGAATTGTATTTCATATATCCTGTGAGCTTATTAACAAAAAACGGTCTTGGATCAGTACATGAAAGGGTCTGTCTCTGTTGAACTGCTAGATGGAAAATTGTATATATTCTTAAAGTTTCAATTACCAGGAGACACTGTCCGTGGATTTTCTGTGGAGTTGACTCAAGGGAAAAATGCCCTGAATGCATGAAAACCATGAACATTTTGCCTGTTTCATATTCATAGTTTCTTCCTTATGTGTGACTGATTTATTCACCGCTGCGCCCCCAGGGTATACATTGTCCAAAATGCTGCCAAAAGAGAAAGGCACTCGCTTTTTCCTGTCCCTTTTTTTTCTTCCAAATGGAAGGAAACAAACTAATTAATTTCTTTTTTTAAGTGCTGAGCCGCACATCACGAATATTGGGCTTTCCCGTGTTTTACCTTACCATGCTTCTCTGGCAAAGGAGGCCTGGTCTAGCAAAAACCTGAGCACGGCTCCAGCCTGGCGGCTGGAAAAGAAGCGTGTTTTAGGGATGCCTCTCTCTCTGCTGTGAAATATGATCTTTCCTGGTTGCATATCATCTCAATAGTTGTATATGAGCATCTATACCGTGCGCTTGTATTATTTATAGTGCTGCAGTTACACAGGCACCCCGTACAGACGCAGAGAAAGCAAACGCCCGTAGGTATTTTTGCTTCTGGTACAGACCTGTTTTTTGCCTGGAAAAGTTATTTGATTTTCAGTGTGACTTCTTAGCACCCTGGCACGCATCAGCGTTGGAAACAATGGGAGCACAAATTACTTTGACAATGTCAGCAAAGCAGGCTCTACCGAGTGGGCTTTCCGTGCGGAGCACAATGCCCAGAATGACAGAAAAGCAGACTGCAAGGCAGAAAGTTGCCAGCCAGTACGTGCAGATATGTTTCAGCGGGAGAAACAGCAACTTCCTAAAGGGGCAGCTCATCGGGGCCGCCTGCAAACGCCGTCCGGGTGCCGAGGAGCAGTTCATTAAGCGATGCCATAACAGGGCTCTTCATGGTGCGGGGAAGCTATTGTGAAGCGCCCCTGACAGATGAGAGCAGACCCTTTACTTGTCACAATAGCTGCTCACACTGAGCAAGTCTCATTAAATATTCAGCTCCAGCCCCAAGCAGCTCATTAAGTCAGCAATGAGCAGTGACGCTGATGTTGGAAAACCCTGCCTCGGTTAACATCACCATGCAGAGGCTTCTTGGCTCTCTCCATGCTCTTCTGCTCAGTGCCTTCTCTATGATGACCAGCTGGTGCTCTCTGCTTTGCATTAAGTACAGGTAAAGGCATCAAGGTACATTCGAGTCTGTCTTTCCCTGTCTCTAGCGGTGTTGCAGCGTGCGACTTGTCCTTCCCGGGCCTTTCTCAGCGCGTGGCTGTGGGGCCCAAGCGGGATTTTCTCTCGGCGCGGCCGAGATTCAGAATTTGAAAGAGGAGGGTGTGATGGGGATTGCATTGCTTCTGGGCTTACAGGAGCTGAATTCGTCACTGTTTTAAGACCTGACTGTGATATTCTGTGTTAGTTACTGTTCCCCAGTGTAAAGTTTTACAGTAAGTGTGCATCCTTCCCTCCCCCCCCCCCCCCCCCAACTTTTTTCCCCCCCCCCCCCCCCCCCCCCCAACATTTTTGTGTGCTCGTTTGGTTTGAGACGATGCATTGGCTTGTGTCTCGCAGGCAAAGGACTGGCAGCCAGTGTTTCTTTCTGAACTTTCTGTTTGAAATCCGGATCCAAATGCTAAAGTGACTGGTCTTAATTTTATGGTAACTAATCCTTAGCAGTAGCCTGCTCTTAAAGGGGAGGGGCGGTGTGTATTTCTGGTGAGCGGGTGTCAGGTATCAGTGAGTACAATGCCTCGGGGTCTGAAAGCAGCAATATAATTGTATGCAGCTTCAGTGGGTTTTCCCCAACCAGCATTTAAGGCTTTAACATCTGAAAGTCTGAACCAGAAGTGGAAAGGCAGGACACGTGCAGGCGCTCTTTGCTCTTCTCCAAATGTGATTTTTCACACCGCTGAACTTTTTCTCTCTTCCTTTCGCAGAAAGTGTTTTCAGACTGCTCATTTCTATGTGGAGGACAGCAGCTCGCCTCGAGTGGTCCCCAATGAAAGTATTCCCATTATACCTATTCCAGGTAAGGCAGGCCTCGCTTCCTGCTCGTGCTGCGTGTGGCCGGGTGCAGCTCACTTGTGCTGGGAGGGAAAGTCACGTTGGTTCGGTGACAAATGCTGATTGCTGTCTTAACTCTTGGTAGAGGTTTTGCAACGTCTGTGCCATCCCATCTAAATGAGCGTGCCTTGCTCCTTGCCTCTGGCAGTGGAACCGGTGTGTTTTTCTCACAGATCACTGCACATCCTGGAGGAACTTTGTTAGAAGTGATACTTTCTTTAGAGATAATAAAGCCTGGCTTTACGGGTTCAGAGGACCCTGGTGCGAACAACTCCACTGGCTTCACCGGAGAGGTTGCGCCCACCTTTTCCAGGTGTAGCTTTGCTCCTTATTGAATTAGCAAGAGAGGAGGGGACTGTGCACAGACAGAGCATCCAAGTGGATTTAAAGTTGTAATATTCAAGCTATACAGTCCGGCTTCTTCCCTCAGCTGAACTGGAATGAAGTTGAAAGCAGGCAGTGCCTCCGTGCCATCCACGTGAGGCAGTTTCTCTCGGTATTACCAGCTGCACCAAGTTGTTTCCCTTTCAATGAGGATGACAAAAAAGAAACCCCAAAACTTTTGCAGCTGCAGCAATGGCAGAGCCTTTGCAGTACCTGCCTCGTACGGTAGTATTCAGTCTTGGTGACACAAGTAAAATGTACAGCGTGTTATCACGAGTCTAGTTGCACAAAGAGGGATCTGACTTGCTGTGGCAGGATGACATGTTTTTCCTCTGTTTCCTTCTCCTGTTCCATAATTTTGGTTTGACAGCTCTAGGCTTCAGACTGCAGTTATTAAATTAATTTTAACAAAGACTTTCAAAGACTGTCTCTAACAGTCTAGGAAAAGAGACACTGAAGAAATATCCTCATTAGGAGAGGGAAAGCATCTAGTTAAATTTTTCATAATTGCATTCATGATTGTATATCTAACCTTCAAGGGTGACAATTTTAAACACTCCTAAGGGAGTTAACATGAAACATTAGCTTTTCTCTCCTTATGTGAAATGTTCGGTGATTTGTACCATGCTCTCGATAGTAGTCTGAGTCCTATCTCTCTAGAAACCAAAAGTTACTATCGTCCTCTGTCCTTATCAGTGGAACATGCAATGGGAAAAGCATATAGAGACCCACATACTTTTGCTAATAAGGACCCACTATCCCCCTCTTCCTCCTTAGTGGTACGTAGGCATGAGATGTTGCCATCCCAGGTCCACTGTGATGGGTATCCAGGAGCTCTGTGCCACTGCCTTGTCTCCCATTATAGGAAACATCAATGCTGCAAGTAATAATATCTTTTCTGAGCTAGGCTGCTCTTGCAATCAAATCTACTGATCACTGCCCTGCCTTTGCCAGTCCTCACGTGTGATGCCTCCTTGGAAGTTACTAGAAGGGGCTTGGGTTTGTATCTGACTGGTTGGTGCAAAGCCCTGTCTAAACTGGGCGGATCATATTTTGCTCTCCTTACCCTTCACCTTCAGCCCCGATCCACCTGGTTTAGACCCACAATCTTTGGCCTTTCTTATTGAAATGCCTGCATGCAGAGAGACCGGCTGATTTGGTGCTAGGTGGATGATGGGGACAGAGCTCACTGAGTTAAGCTTGACCCACCGGTTTTCTGGTGTTGATACTACTAATAATAGGAATAATGGGAACTATAACAGCAACTGCTTGCACTTTACACCCAGCTGAGGATCTCAAAGCGTGCTTCCCACAAGGTTAGGTTAACACTCCATGAAGTAAGGGGTATGACACTGCTTTTAAAAAAGGGTAAATTGAGACCCGTAGTGACTAGATGACATGCCCAAGGCCACAAGGTTGGTCAGTGGCTGAGCTTCATGCCACTTCTGTGCCTCATGCGCTCATGCTTGACCTGCCTTTCCCACTGCAAGATAGCAGTGTGGCATGAAAAGGATGTTTAGTCCGTCAGAGCGGTCCAGAGGCCTGCTCCCTTCCCCTGTCCCCTGGCTAATCAGCTCCTTCATCCTGAAACGCAGCCCCCACGCGGCAATCCTGCTGAAGGATATTAGAAAGGGTAAATGGCAAAATCCCCCTTCGGTTCCCATATCATGCTGATGAAATGATGCTGTTTTTGAACTTTCCTTCTGGAAGCTGCGTAATTGATCCTGGAAGTAAGAGAAGGGATGTTTTAAATGAAAGTGAGCTCTTCAAGCTAACCTTTTTAGGTTGTGATATCCCAGGCAGTACCTTAAAAGATATTTAAATAGGTCCCCATGGAGCTGTGCGACTGTTTGCTTGAATGGAGTGGACCAGATTCCTCTCCCAGCTACACACACGGGCTTGGCTACAGCAATTTAGCCCCGCTGCTTTAGAGACATGCACTAGCTTTGCCAGGACCCCGCGTTTTTCCTGCTCCAAGACCTCTAAAATCCCCAGCAACCTCCTCATCCAGCAGTAGCTCCTGCCTCATTACGGCGCCTTACAGGTCCACGAGCAGGAAAATCATGGAAGAGAGGAGTGGCTTCTACCCTTTTCCTGCCTCACTTCCCACTGCAGAAACGTACTTAATTATTGAGCATGAAACCACATCACCCACAGGCATACACTTAGCTATGCAAATTTTGCCCTGAGACTGAATGCCCATATAATAATTCATAATTATCTGCACTGCTTGATCTAGAGACGCACAGGACAAAGGGAGGTATCATTAGCTGAATCAGCCCCTGGCTATCGTGAGGGACGCGTGAGCCTAAACGCGGCATCAGTCTCATTTACAAGCTTGCCCCGAGGGGGCAAATCTCTGAACTGCCATCGTGGTGCATGCAATTATTTCCCCAGCTTCTCTGTCTTCCTCTCCTCAGCTGCTTGATTCTGCATGGGTCTCTTTGCAAGTGTGCAGTCATAAATAAGCCACCTCTGCCTTCCCCTGCTTTCCAGCTGGGGCAGCATGTGCTGCAAGTTACGGCGCTTCCACGCCTGTCCCCTCCGTCGGCAGGGTCCCACAGCTCACAGGAAGAGCTGATTTACCTACAGACTTGAGCTCTTCCTCCCCTAGTTGCAAGCCTCATGCTCTAGATGAGCATTTTCCTCATATCACAAGACTGGATTTGCTGAAGGGCAGCAGCAGCAGAATTATCCCTGTGCATCACAGATGGTGACGGCAGGCAGGGGGCAATGAGGAGTACAGGTGCGGCCCCCTGAACCAGGCATGCCTGTTGCCTTGGTGCTTCCCCAGGAATGCCTGTTGCATTGGTGCTCCCCATCGTGCGTCTTCAAGCAGAGCCCTCTCCCCCCGGGAAGGGGACTGATGTCCCAGAGATGCTTGGATTCCTTGCAGCACCGGCCTACCACGACTCTGCTGGACGGGACAGATGAGGTGAGCCATATAGTACACACATGGGGTTCCCAAATCCGCTCTGTTGGGCATCAGAGTCCATCTCCTCCACATTCAAAGAGCAAGTCGCTCTCCCCACCAGGCTCCCTGGCCAGACCAGCAACACCAGAGTATCAAGAGGAACTGCATCTGGGAGCAGGACATCACAACCACCTGCCAGGATTACCTGCGGTCCTCTTGCACCCTCGGCACCAGGACCAGCGCACGATGGTCTTGGATAACTCCAGGAACTGCTTTTGTGTATTGCCAAAGCACTGGGGATGGAAGTGGCTGTGATCCCGGGGAAGCTCTGACAAGCTGTTCAGCATCCCATAGCAAGGATTGCCCTCTCCATAAGCAAAGGCTGGCTTGAGTCGGGTGAAGTAAAGTGCATCAAGACACAGTATCAACACCATTAATGGGCAGGGAGTCCTGTCCTCCCAGCTCCTTAGTCTTGCTGGTGTTGAAGTCGAGCAAGAGCCCCCCGGAACACTGAGCTGAAATAGCACAACCGGGGGTGGGAGGGCAAAGCTCATTTATCTGTGTATGAGATGTATTTGCTGCCCTCCTTAAGAACAGCTCAAAGCAGCTTACAGTAAAACCAGATAAAAATAAAGACAGATTAAAATAACGGGTAACAGAACAACCTCCCAAACTCGCGCTCCCTGGAGAGTTACTTCCCAGGGCTGTGGTGGAGGAGGTCTCAAACCAGGGGAAGCAGCTTCCCCTCCTGGCATTTTCGAATTACAGGGAAGAGGAGGGGCCTTCGTCCCACCCTAGACCTGGGGCAACCCCGGAAATACAGGCACCACCTTGCATTCGGGAAGGAAATGCTTCCCTTCACCGTACCACGGCTCCCAGCCTGAAGGACACGTTTCTCTTATAATCTCTTCAGACCACGGAAAATACCGGAGGGGTCAGCTCAGTGACCCAGCCCGCCCTTCGCCCTGCAGATAGTCTGCAGCACCGGGTAGTGTCCAGGCGTGTAACTCCACACGCACATGGCTGCGTCCCCCAACAGAGAAGTGTGGTAGGACTCAAATCTTGTGCCGTGTTTAGCCCTAGGGTTCAACTCCTGAATCAACTGATTACTCTTTTCATCCCCTTCCTGAAGCTTGAATCAGCATGAAGAGAGGAAGACACAGCATAGTCTGGGTGTAGCTTCACAGCCGTGTGTGTGTATGTATGTGTGTGTGTATATGTGTGTGTGAATATATATTCACGCATATGTGCATGCACATATATATATTCATATATATGTGCATGTGTGCATGCATGCACGCACACTATACACACACACACACACACACACACACACACACACACACACACATATATATATATATATATATATATATATATATATATATAGTGTGCGTGCATGCACACACACATGCACATATAAATATATAAGCATAGAGATATTCTTTCTATATCTGCATTTTATATACATGCAAAACACTACTCATAATAGGTCTGAATAGGTTCAACAAATGCAACAAAATGGCTTAGGCTGGGAGGAAAAACCCAGTATGTTGTTTTCCAGCGTTCAGGCTCCGCTGTCTAAACACTGGTACGAGTGCTTACCATTAAACTCATATATTGCCCCACTGATTTGAATGGGACTGCTCACAGGCTTAGATATATAA